CACACCGCGCAGGTCGGGAAGTCATTGGGCCGCAGCTAGGTGGCCGGAGCTCGGGGACAACTCCTGCCCCCCCTCCACACAGTGTACATAAAAACGTCACGGAGACGGTGCGTAGGCACACCAGCAGTAGTACCAACGCGGGCGCTTTCGCTGGCATCGAAGCCAGCACCGACGCCAGCACAATCGCCGACAATTACGCCAGCGCTGACGCTAGCACCGACGCCAGCATGAACACCTGCGACTTCGCCTGCACCGACGCCAGCGCGCTCACCAACGCCGACGCCAGCACCGACGCCAGCGCGAACGCTGGCGCTTGCGCCTGCACCAACTCCAGCGCCTACACCAGCACCGATGTCATCACCAACGCCAGCATCGACGCCGACGCCTACACCAGCACCGACGCCAGTACCTGCAACAGCACGAACGTTTGCGGGCGCCGGCACCATCACCAGCGCCTACACCAACGCCGACGCCAGCACTGACGTCAGCACGAGCAACTGGCGGTACAAATTTGAACCCACTTTTGTTCGATCCAACGGCCAATGACCTTACGCTATAGGCCACGCGGCCGGGATAACAGTCGGTTCGACTTCGCTGAGCGACACGACAACGACGGCCACTTGCTCCAGAGACACGTCGGCCACCACGAATTCGACGTGCCGTTCCGGCACCGGCGGTACATCCTTAAAGAGCGGCATGTCCATGACGGCCACCAGTTTTGGCGAGATGATGGCAACCACACGCTCGACGAGTGGTTCGAGTCCTAGCGGTCCGGCGCAAAATCGAAATGTCACGGAATTGGCACGTGACGGAACTCTACCCCACATATCGTGTGACGCTACGCCTGCGTCAGCACCGACACCAGTACCGACGCCAGCATCAATGCCAGCGCCTCCACCAGCACCGACGCCAGCACCAACGATGGCACCTACGCCAGCGCCGACGCCAGCTCCGACGCCAGCATTTGGGCTCGCGCCTACGCTGGCAGCAACGCCAGCGCCTGCACCAGCGCCGACGCCAGCACAGACGCCAGCAGCAAAGGTGCACTGGTGAGCGGCCCAGCTCACTGGTGTTCCTTCCAGCCCAGACGCTTGTACCAGTCCCAATGGCAAACCCGACTCCCCCACTCCGACGTCCAACCCCGACGCCAGCACCAACGCCAGCGCGTACACCAGTGCGGACGCCAGCCGACGCAAGCACCGACGCCGGCGACTATGCCAGCACCAACGCCAGCGCATACACCAGCACTGGCGCCAGCACCGACGCCAGCACCAACGCTACGCCAGCACCAATGCTGGCGCCTATGCCAGCATCGACACCAGCACCGACGCCAGCACCGAGACGAAAACGACCGATCGGGAGGGGGCCACCACCGAAGTTCGGCCACGACAGGCACCTCCTCCCCGCCATGACATGAAGGCAAAGGTCCGTGAGTCGCACTTTTGATTCGCCCCACCGCCTCCCCCTGGGGGTCCCACGCCTGGGGTGGCAGGGGACCGCTGCGCTCTCCCCCCTTCCTTCTGCTGCTGCGGCCTCCTCCCTCCTCTTCCCTTCTCCCCTGTCGTCGTCGTCGTGCCGCCGCCGCCGCCGCCTCCGCCGCCGCCGCTCCCTCCTCCGCCGCCGCCGCCGCCGTTCTCGTCGTCGTCCTCGTCGTCGTCCTCGTCTCTTCGTTGTCGTCGCCGTTGTCGCCGGCGTCGTTGTCGTCGTTGCCGTCGTCGTCGTCGTCGTCGTCGTCGTCGTCGTCGTCGTCGGCGTCGGCGTCGGCGTCGTCGTCGTCGTCGGGGTGCGGTCCTCTCCCTGTCTTGGGCTTGTGGCCCCCTCTGGGGGGGTGGCGTCCGATGGTAGTGGTGTAGTGCTCAGTTCCCCTGCCCTTTGACTCCTGCGTCCTTCCTGTTTCTGTCACAACGTTGCTTTGCATGCTATTGTTCGTTTTTTATCCGTGCGCTGTCCCCCGATGTCGGGGGCGGCGTCCGCCGCCCAGGGGGAGACAGGGACGTTTGCTCTCGGGGCTTCCCTTGCCCTGCGCCCCCCTCGTGCGGCTTCGGAACCTTATTTGATCTTGCCGTTCGCTCTGGTCCTCCTGCTTCCTCCTCCTCCTCCTCCTCCTCCTCCTCCTGCGCCTTGCGTCGCATCGGCAACCGTGGCACTAGGTGCCCGCTCTTCTGGCGAAGCGGCATGGCCCTTCCAACCAGGCTGATTCGGGGCCTACTGCAGCCTGCGGGCCCCAGTTTGCAGTAGACTTGCGTGGGACTCCTGTGCGCGCGCCGGTTCTGGCACTGACCAGAGCGTCTGGTCTTCGCACGCGCGAGGTGCTCCGACGAGCATTCGGTGGCTTGCCACTCTCCTTTGGCGTCTCTCCTTCTTCTCCTCCTTCTCCCCCGGCCCGCGCTTAGTGCGGCACGCCAGCGTCCACCCAGCAACGGTGTGGTCAAGTGTTGATTGCTTCGGCTGGTTGCCCATTCGCTTTCTTCGTTTGTCCTCTTTCACCTTCGCTGCCTCTCCTGCCTCCTAGCTGCGGCCCGATGTTGGCCCTTTCTTCATCTGAGCTTCGGGTTGGCCCTGTAGGGCAATCCACAGGTGTCGCCGCAGAACTTCTTTAATCTGGTAGCCGCCGCCTCGCGCCTTCTCGTGGCCTCCTCCGCCGCTCGGCTTCTGGCATGGGCCAGCTGCGGCGGGAAGCGTGTAGATCGCTCACCGTCCGTGGTCCAGGGAACCCGCGAGCCAGCAGAGAAACAAAGACGGGGGCCCCCGATAGCAACTCCGCACGGTCCTGGGCGGGGTGGGCTCTCGGGCCCCCACCGGCGACGAGTGGGCGATTGGGGGTCGATGGGTCCCCCCCCCCCCCTCGGCCTGCCTCCCCTGACGTCCCGCCCCCCCCCCCCCCGGAGGAGAAGCAGGAGGAGGCACCCAAACTGCTGCCCCTCCCTCGTCTTCGCCTCGATTCGGGCCTTATGCTCGGAGGCCCTCGGCGCCACCGCTGGGCTCGCCTCGCCCAGGCGTGCGCGCGTCGCGACAGAAGTCGCGGCGGCAGGTCCTTGGCCGGGCCCTCGCCGGGTCTTGGGGCCGCCAAAAAACGACTCAGAACGAAGAGCCGGCCTTTGGCCAGGGTCGGGGGTGTCGCGACGAGTTTGGGAGGAGGAATAGGAGGAGGGGGAGGAGGAGGAAAAGGAGGAGGAGGAGGAGGAGGAGGAGGAGGAGGAGGGGGAGAATGGAGATGATGATGATGATGATGGATGAGATGATGATGAGATGATGATGCTGATGATGATGATGATGATGATGAGTGAGATGATGATGTGATGATGATGATGATGATGATGATGATGATGATGATGAGGATGATGATGATGATGATGTGAGGAGGAGGAGGAGGAGGAGGAGGAGGAGGAGGAGGAGGCGGAGGAGGAGGAGGAGTAGGAGGGGGGGCGGAAGGAGGAGTAGGAGGAGGAGCGAGCGAGAGGAGGGGGAGGAGGAGAGGAGGAGGAGGAGAGGAGCAGGAGGAGGAGGACCGGGAGAGGAGGAGGAGGAGGAGGAGGGAGGAGGAGGAGGAGTAGGAGGAGGAGGAGGAGGAGGCACGACCAGATCGAAACGAGTGCGCAGAGACGGCGGGCAGCAGAGAGCACGAGCACGGAAAAGGGGCTAGGGCGCACAACACGACGATATAAAGAGAGACAGCCGACGGCGGAGGCCGACTGCAGCAATGCACACGTCAGGGGAGGCGTGCAAGCAAAAGACAGGCGGAGCACAGCGGGGCTCCGAGTGGAAGAGCACAGGATTGCCCAAGGCAGTCAAGGGGCCAGGGCTGGCCGCAGGGACGTTACCCTGCAGTCAGCCACGGCGCGCCAGCACGAGGCGGAGACGTGGCAGCCCGAAGCGGTGAGCGCAGGCGCGAGGGGCCCCCAACGGCATCCCCCAACCTGCGACCACTACCTCGCACCACCCTTCCCCGCCAGATTGGCAGACGAGCAGCAGCGGCGGCAGCACTCGCACGGAGAACTACTCAGGCCGAGAATGTCCGACGCCTGGACGACATGTCCGCGAGAGGCTGCATGTCCCAATCGAAGGCGGGGTCGCAGTGCGCCTTGCAGTGGCCACGGCTGTCACAGATGGCACACGGAATGAAGCCGTCCGCAATCTCCTCCCAGAGGTCGTCCAGGAAAGCCACGCTGCTGGAACGTACAAAATACCCAAAGCACCGCATGAGGTGGGCGTCGGCACTCCTGGTACCGATCGGCGACGGAGCACCCCCATCGCCGCCAGAGGCGGCGGGGACGCGGCTGGCAACAGCCGCGGCAGCATCCTGCTCGTTCTCCTTCACTTCAACCAACATCCTCAGACGGGTGATCTGGGCCGCCAGCTGCCGATAGCGGCTCTGGATGCCGAGGAGGGCGTCGGTGCGGTCCCGCAGGGCGGCGCCCTCGACCACTCGCCCGCACGGCGCGGGGTCAGGAACGCCAACAACTCCAGGAGCAGCACGGCGGGATTGGACAGCACCAGCACCGGCTCCAGGAAGAGCACGACCAGGAACACCATCATCAGCACCAGGTGAGACGCCTCCCCCAAGGTCAGCGTGGGCCTCACCAGGAACACGGCGAGCGTCGCGGAGACCCCCATCACAATCACGAACTTGATCCCCACTGGACGCCCGAACATGGTGACCGCAACCGCGAGGGAGAAGGTCATCCCGAGGCCCAGCATCGGCACGGGGAAGGCGTATGGCGGCCAGGGAGTCCAGGG